CGCTTGCGCGTCGGAGGGCCTTCCCGCCGGGTGGAGCAGCTCGGGTTCTTGACGATACACCACGTCTTGTTGAAGCCGTCGCAGGCTGGCGAGGGGCACCCCCGCACCTGGCCGGCGCCGTCCTGGCTCTCCCGCCACCTCATTCTAACCGTACCCCACCATCCTCGGTACGCACTCCCCCTGCTCATCACCCTTCCTCCCCATCCTCCTCCCCTCCTCCTCCTCCTCCTCCTCCTCCTCCTCCTCCTCCTCCTCCTCCTCCTCCTCCTCCTCCTCCTCCTCCTCCTCCTCCTCCTGCGCACTGGCGGCCACGCGGCGGTCTTGTCCGCCGTATAGGTCACTCTGGCGAAAGGTCAGTCTGAGGCGCAGCGGGCCTCAGCCCAAGCGCCCACAACCCCCCGAGGCCGCCCACTGGGCAGCCAGACCCCCGACGTCGTGACTGTTCCACAGCGTCGACGTCCAGAGGTCTGGACCCCCTCCCCGGGACCCCTCCCTCATCCTGAGTCGTTGTTGGACGCTTCCGAGGCCAGGTAGGGGCCCCCGGAGGCCGACGATAGCGAAAGGCACCCGTGATGCTTTCACAACGCGAGGGGGTCTGGGCCTCCTCCTACTCCTCCTCCTCCTCCTCCTCCTCCTCCTCCTCCTCCTCCACCTCCTCCTCTCCCCTCATCTCCTCATCGAAAGCACTCTCCTCGTCATCGTCACCGTCGTCGCTATCATCGTCGCCCTCATGACCACTGTCATCAGAAGCAGCACTGCCACCACCATCTCCGTCGACAACTTTAACCTCAATCAGCGCATCATCATCATCAACATCATCATCATCTCATCACATCATCAACATCATCATCATCATCATCATCACAGCATCAGCATCAGCATCAGCAACATCATCAATCATCATCATCATCATCATCATCATCATCATCATCATCAGCATCATCATCATCATCATCATCATCATCAGCATCATCATCATCATCATCATCATCAGCATCATCATCATCATCATCAGCATCATCATCACCATCATCATCACCATCATCATCATCACCACCATCATCATCATCATCATCATCAGCATCATCATCATCATCATCACCACCACGACCATCATCATCATCATCATCAGCATCATCAGCAGCAGCATCAGCATCATCATCAGCAGCATCATCATCAGCATCATCATCAGCAGCATTCATCATAATCATCATCATCATCGTCACCATCATCATCAGCATCAGCATCAGCATCATCTTAATCACCAGCATCATTATCATCATCAACATCATCCTCATCATCGTCAGCATCACCATCAGCATCATCATCATCACCACCACAACCACCACCACCACCACCACCACCACCACCGTCATCAGATTCATCGTCGTCACCATCATTATCACCACTACCACCCCCGTCATCATCAACAACAACCACACCAACTGGAACATCAACCCACCACTACCATCGTCATCAGAGCCATCACCCACACCGTCCTTACCATCCTCACCACCACCACCACCACCACCCTCCCCGCCCCCCTCCCCCCCCTGGGCCTGATTGCAACCCTTGTGGTGGGGCGAGCTCCACTCGTCCTCGCACACGCAGGCCTCCTCGGCGCGGGCGCGCCGACTGGGCCCCCGCGGCGCCCGAGGGAGTGGAGTCCAAGACGTCGACGTCGCCGCCCACACGCGGTCGAGGATCGGTCGATCGAGGATTGAATCGGGGGTCGATCGATCGTGGATTGGTTGATGATCGATCGATCGAGGTGTGTCCCGGCGCTTGGTCTCTGGGGGCCGCTTTCGGGCCCCAGGGCCGTCAGATGATGTTGCTTCGGAATGAACAGAGCTCCCCCTGGGGAGGAAGATAGCACGCGGTGAGGGCATTGGATAAGGAACCATTGGATAGTAGAAGAAGAAGAAGAAAAAACAACCATAAGCATAAACTTTTGCGCTCCGCGCTTGCGTTGGAACCCCCCTCACTGGCGCGCGGAGGGCGCCATGGGCGGCGCCAAAGGCGCCGCCGGGGGGCCCAGGCGCGGATCCAAGAAATCCGCGCGGAGCGCCACAAGTTTGTGCTTATGTGTGTTTTCATTTTCGAATGCGGTGAGGGTATTGGATAAGGAACCAGTGCTTATTCCCTACCTAGGCTCTGCCTAGAAGGGTTCTTACTCGGAAGCTTAAAGGGCCGGGCAGTGGGGCCCGCCCCGGGCGGTTCCCCCGGTATCCGCCCCGCGGTTCCCCCAGTTACGTCCCTTTAGCTTAGCGTTGCTTATCTCATCTTAGCTTAGCTTAGGTTCATCTTAGCTCAGGTTTATCTTAGCTAGCTTACCTTCATATTAGCTTCGAGGAGCTTTAGCATAGAAGAGCACAGCAGAGCATAGCATAGCGTAGCATAGCATAGCGCAGCACAGCATATCATAGCATAGCCCAGCATAGCATAGCATAGCGCAGCATAGGATAGCATAGCATAGCATAGCACAGCAGCCAAGAAAAGGCAAAGCAACAGCAGCGACAGCAAAGCAAAGCACAAGCAACTCAAAGCAAAGCAAACCAAAAACAAAAGCAAAGCAAAGGAAAGGCAAAGGAAAAACAATGTGCGACAGATGCCGAGCTAGCCTCGATGGCCGGACCAGAGCCCCCGCAAGCAGTGCCTTCCGTAACCATTTCGGCTCAAGTCCGGAGGCCCTGCCACACAGCCGCCCACGCATAGCATAGCCAAGCATAGCATCGCACAGCATAGCATAGCGCAGCATAGCATAGCATAGCATAGCATAGCATAGCATAGCATAGCGCAGTATAGCATAGCATAGCATAGCCTAGCATAGCATAGCATAGCCTAGCATAGCATAGCACAGCGCAGCATGACATAGCATAGCATAGCATAGCTTAGCATAGCATAGCATGGCATAGCATAGCATATCATAGCATAGCATAGCGCAACATAGCATAGCATAGCATAGCATAGCATAGTATAGCATAGCATAGCATAGCATAGCATAGCATAGCGCAGCATAGCATGGCATGGCATAGCATTGCATAGCATAGCATAGCAACTAATGCTGCTTTCCTAGGGGCTCCAACGGCTCCAACTTCTAGGTAGGGTCGCACTGGGGTAATGTGTGTTTTCATTTCCGAATGCGGTGAGGGTATTGGATGAGGAACCATTAGATGAAGGAGAGCAAGGTCCGGGAGCACCAACTGAGGCTTGGCCTTAGGTCGGGCATGTCCCCCTACAGGCGGATTCTGGACGATTTTGCTGTATGCAATTCAAAGTTCGGCACTTCCCCCCCCCCTGCCACCCTCCCCCCTCGATTTCGCCCCACCCCCCTCTGGAGCTTTGCTCTGCAAGTCCGCTTTGCAGATGGGCGCTCTGCAAGGGGAGGGGGGGGGACAGGAGAGAGGGGGGGGGACAGGAGAGAGGGGGGGGGACAGGAGAAAGGGGGGGGGAGAGGG